ATCAGTGTCCTGCAACAGCAGGGGTTGGACTTGATGGCCTTCATGGCCCTTTGCAACCCTTCTCTTCTATGATTCTATGATAGGATGGGTGTCAGATAATGAAGCTGCCTTCCTGTGTGTACTTATGATGGGGACTTTCAGATGAGATTTTTGTCATACAACCATCTTGCCTCGGTCATTAAATTTTAAGGAGTCTAGACAAGATGATCTCCAATTTATAATCCTCTAGTGCTTCCCAGCCACTTTTTTCCTTCCACAAAAGCCCCAACTAAGGGGAAAAAGTTTACCAATGTCTCTTGATAGGTAGTGCTGGAATTCTCTATTTGGAGACAACCTGTCCTATTTCTGAGCAAAAATGCCTAGGATTGTACTACAGAACTACTACTGTCTCCAGTAAGCGGGCTCGCTGAGAAATATTAAAAATATACTGTTTAACAAATGAAAAAAGAGATTTCTTGTTTGGGGGGTTTCCCACTCCTATCCCATGCTCATCCAACAAGTAAACTAGCTAGTTAGCAATGACCATAATGGGGACTGCCCTAGGAAACATTTTGTTTTCAGTCTATTGTCATTTAGAAGTCTGATAGCTGATTATACCTAACAAGTACCTTTGTGAATTTATTTTTAAAATTGCTGCAACTTTGAGAAAAAAATCACCTGAGCTTTATTAATTAATTCTCTTCTCTTTTCTTCCTCTTTCATTTTATTTTTGGTGTTGCCTGACAGTTTGAGGTGCCCTTGCCACAGCACAGCTAGAAAACTTTGCTGTGAAGAAGAAAGTTCTGTACTTGCCCTCATCATTTCTCTCTGGTTCTTTTCTGTGCACTGGACAGAACTGTGGCTGACAGAAATCTTTCCCCATTTCAGAATATGCCACTCTGTGCATTGCTGATTAGAACAGGCAATATCCATGCAAAAAGAAAATATCCAGTGGTACCATTACAGACATTAACTATGTTGATCTATTTAAGGAAAAATCATTTGATGCAGCCTGAGTTCTTTTGCAGTTGTGCAAACTAAGGGGGCACAATTTTATGCAAATTGAGCCAGAAATAAGTGGCTGAGAAATAAATGCTGACTGGGGAATGCTGGGCTTTTTCTGTTGAAACATGCATAGCAATATGTCATAAATCAGTTTGCAAAAAACTTTCTGAATCAGCAGGATATTGCCAACAAGATCCCATCATACATTGTACCAAGATCCATTTCTCTTGCTAACTTTAAAACGTACACATCTACACAACCACAACAACAAGCCTGAGGAAGCATTCTGTAGAGCACACTAGTTAGCTGAACAGCTCAAGCTAGCAAAACCAGCGCTAATTAGGCAGTGCTAATTTTTAGATCTGTTTTGCAAAATTATATTGCACAAATTCAATATTCAAATGGAAGTATGAAATTTTATGTTAAGATTTGCAATTCTGCTAACATCATTCCATTTCAGAAACTCAGAAAAGTAGCCATTACTTTAATTAAGCTTTCCAGATGTGACTCTTTCTAATAGACATTCGATAATCCACCAGGGCATTAGGATGACTGAAGTATGAAACTTTTAACACTGCATTTTAAACCTCAAGCAGTGACAAATACAAATGACAGAAAGGAAACTCATCATACAAAGCCATGCTCAATTGTCACACATATACTCAAAGGAACCAGCTCCCTTAGTTCTGATGATCAGCTAATTTCTTGATTCTGTAAAAACCTGCTCACATCACTCTTCTACTTGCGGACATGTGGCAGCTCAGACAAGATTGGTCCTTCCCTTCCTTGACCAGAAAAAATCCAGTTGTGATTCCCCCACATAAGAGGAGCCACAATCTCATATGAGATTGTGACTCTAACAAGAATTTCCTCATGGGAATGTGATGTGTTGTTTGCCTGAATCATACTTTGTGGACACAATCAGCTCGTTAATCCAAAGTACCATTGGGTGAAATGGACTTTGAGACAAATTTGGTCATTTTGTAAAACCATCTATCCATTTGGTGACTTTTTTCTGATGGTAATTAAGGCAATGAGGGTTTTCCATGTATACCACATCCCACCCATTTCACAGCCACTCCCAACACTTGTGGACAGAGATCTTTACTATCTAACCCAGACAATGTTTATTACTTGGAGTTCCACGGCCATGTAATTACCCTTTCAACAATATTTCAAGATTATTTGAGGAATCAGATAAAAGCCATTCATGATACCAAGAGAGGAGTCTAAAGTTATATGATGTCATGGCGCTCATAATCTGATAAAACAATAGAGTTCTAAGCCTAATCAGTGTCTGGATGAGAAATCTTCTGATCCTCCTTGTAAGCTACTCTTTGCTTCCCAAAGGAAATAACTCTGAAAAGCAAAGGGTAAAAAGTAAACACTTGATGGCTACATTTTCAGTGACAGTCCTTTCCTTCCTTTGGTCTACGACTCCTTGCATCAATGCACATTGACCATGATGTTTGGGGCTGCTGGGAATTGAAGTCTAAAACATTTGGAAACATCAGCCAGGGAAGACTGACTTAAACAGTGACGACAGAATCCTATACATGTTTAAGTATATGATGCATTACGATGAAGACGATGCATTCATGGGAGCTTATTCCCAGGCAAGTACGACATTACGCCTTCAAGGAATTTTGAGTCAGATCAGTTGCTAAAGTTGAGTAAGGGTGCAACCCTAGTTGAGAGATCTCCTTTGCAAGGCCAGTGGACATTAACGGGGACTGTGGAAGACCACCCATGCTGGCGTGCAGGTCCTGTTCCTTTTGGTGGGATGTGTGCAGAAGGGGTTCACACCACAGCGTGCCTGAACACATGGTATCGAAAGGCCGGTAGGCGCTGGACCACATTGCATGTAGAGGAAGCCCTTGGAAAGTGGTTTTGGAATCTGGAAATCCTTTCTTTGAAAAGGTGCCTGCCTTGCCCTTCCTAAAAATTTCTTACCAGAACATAACTTTGTGTTTGTGATACCTGCAGAGTTTAATGAAGCAAGCCAAGTTAATTCCTGTGACTGGAATAAACAAACTTTCTGTCTTCTTTTTAATTGTACCAGTGCTTGATCTGCTCCAATATAAGGAAGCAACTATTCAGGGTACAAAATTATTTTTGTTTATATATAGCAGAATCCCAGAATCAAATAGTTATCATACAGGTCACACTTTAGTAAATGCTTTTCTTCTTATAAAAATCTTTTGTCAGAAAATGGAGCCCAAAGGTCACAATCCAGAGAGCTAAGGATGTGCCCTACAGCCATTCAGTGGGATTTAAAAAAATCGTTCTTTGAATGGCAAACTACAATGATATATATTTTTAAAAATTAAAAAGAGATTTACCACAAAGCAAGACAGGGCACTAGCTACTAAAAAACACAAGCTCAAATGTTCTTTGCTATATAGACACAATTGCACAATTCTTTGAATCCAGTTCACCATAAATTCTTATCTGAAGCATTTAAAAAGGAAATAAATATTTCAGTGTATTGTCAATACAAGAAGGATAATTCCCATGTCGACCTTTCTCCTATTGACTATAGATAATCCAAAAAGGACACTTTTGCAAACATTCCCCTAATCTGCTTTCTAAACAGTATCTAATCAGATTGTCTTATGTTTCCTTTGAGCAGGTAGATTTCCCATTAGCTAGTAAATAGCATGAGGAACACGGGTAGTGAAACACTTGACCTTGGACATGTGCTATAATTCTTTTCCTTTGATGGGAAAATAGCTGAGTATTAGGTTATCCATTCTCATTTCTGTGGCTTGCCTTTGCTCAGAATCAGGAGTTCTTGGAAACTTTACTCTTTCTAGTTCAAAATTAGGCAACTCAATGCCTCCAAATGCTTTGAATTATAACCTGCCCATTGGTCTTGCTGGCTGGGATTGATGGTAGTTGCAACTGCAGTTTAAAAGTCTGAAGGGTGCCGGGTTACCTATTTATAGGAGATAATTAACAAATGCATTTGGAGAATCACATGGAGATGCCACTGAGTTTGTAGTTGATTTTCTGCAAAGTTTTGCAGGATTTTGAGCAGATGTAGTATTTTGGGCACATGTAGTATATTTATTTCCACAAGCCTTCCTTGATTAACCAGTCAGTTTTTATTAGTATCTGTTCTTTTAAAAGCTTTTAATATGTTTTATTCTCTTTTACCTTTTATCATTTCATTGCTCCAAAATCTATTTAGATGTGAAATGGAATAAATTTTTTGCAAATAAAGAAATATAAAGCAGCATCTCTTTCAGGACTGGCTATAGTACCTTTAAAAACAGGACTTGTTTTTAAAGGATACAGCAATTTTCAACAATTTTCCTTCCATTTAGCTCCCTTTGAATACTATAGCATTAAACTGACACAATGCATAATTGAAAAACTGTACACCCAGCTGTCAGTAATGCAACTTTCCCCATCTCTTGAACAATATTGAATAGCCAAGTAGAAAATTTTTCAAGCCTTAAAGTCAGGGTGACTGCTAGGTACTAAAAAGATCTAGTGCTGAGGTCAAAAATGTGCACAAATTTGCACATAATAATTCACATATACTTTAGACTCACCCCGTGTGTATGTGTGCGTGTGTACACATGCGTTTCACTGTCTGTAAAGGGCCTTGGGGACACCCATATTTGTACAAAAAGGATATATGGGCAGGGGAAAAGGCATTTAACTTCAGGAAAAAAATTCAGGCAGAAAGATGTAATGGGGCAGGGGCAGCAGGAGGTGAAGCAAATATGGACAAAAAGCCAGCTGCTCCAGTGGCATCAGATGCAACAGGGATAACCAAGCATCTCTGGGCCTCTGTTTCAGCAAGTGCCCACGCAGAGCAGGGTGGTGGGAGATGCCTTTCCAGAGATTCGAGGTTCCAAATGAAAGATTTGGGGCTCTAGCCCTAGCAGGCCATACTTTAATATCACTTCTACCTAAAGTTCTTCTCAACAAGGACAGAAAGTGAACACCAACAGCTCTGTCCAAGTGATTTTTTTCAAGATTGTTGCCTTGATCAAGTTACTCACCAACAATGACTGCAATGATGGTGAACAGCACAAAAAAATTCTTTAGTAAGTAACTTTTAACATCATCCTTTGTGATGCTCTGCACCTTCTTCTTTGCCATAAGTGTACGTTTCCGGACCCCTTGCTGGAAGCGCTCCATCCTATTGCCTGATCTTGTGTCTTCTCCGTTATTTTTAGTCATCTGTATCTCAGGGAGGGGGGGAATCTTCTTTATAGATTATTAATGTTAAAAAAATTCCCCAGAAAAAAAGGAAGAAAGCTCTTTCTCCTTGATCAGAGATAATGGAACCTAAAGACAGGCAGGCAGGCAGACAGACAGAGGAAAAAGGAAAAAAATACGAAGTTTCAATAGCAGTTTTCAAATGTCAAAACCATGATCTGTTTTAACTGCAGATGACATTTCAACTATTAAATTCTTTAGACAAAAATGGATTAAAAACTACCAAGAAATAAATTACACATAATTTTAGGTTTTTTATTTTGAAAGGTCATGATTATATTGGTGTAGTCCACAAGGTTATGAAAACTACACAAAATAAGCTCAGCTATTAATTACAGAGGCAATTGATTTATCAACACATTATACTCAATGTGCAACAACTGTGCATAACATGGGAGGAAATAGGCTTTTCTATGATAAGATAAGAGGCATGGGCATAATCCACCCAAACCTAAGCATTTATGGCACCATCCTGTGTTCCTTTATTCAAAAATCCCACTGGTGTGTGCCAGATCACCTCCTCAAAGTCTCATGCATTTCAGTGGGTGACATGTAAGCGCATGGGGTTTTATTTTGTTATTCCAGTGCTGCTTATAACCAGCTATTTGATTCAGACTGAATGTATCATCAGTGTTTTTAACACATTGCACGGTGTGCATTTTGGCAAATTCCAGAGAATTATGATCAGCTTTTTCTAAAAAGCCTTGATTTAATGATCCATCTGATTTTTATTTTTATTTTTTTGTACAAGCTATACAACCCAAACCAAGATCGAGCATCTAATGCGTTCCCTCTTCTTTAGAACCTGCTGGGATATGCCCCCCCCCCCCCAGGGAGCCTTGTGGGTAGCACAGCAATTAAAACCAGACAAATAAGCATTTAGGCTGCATTCCTGAAACTTGTCACCTTAGTTTTGAGTGAACACGCGTGGGAATGTGCTGTTAAAGCCCCATCGGATGGCTACTACTTCTTATTCCATACAAGAGCCTCACATTAATTTAAGTGGCAAGCCAAATATTGCAATACGAACGGCACATGCCCTTTGCTTGTTGCCTTTACTTTAAAGTTTAAAGCCTACCTTTCAGTAAGTATTAGCTTCCGTTTGAACAGTTTGATTATACCATTTAACACAGTTAGTTATTCATGCCTATTAAGCCACAGAATGTGAGCAGTGAGTGAGTCCATGTGCGTTTCTGTGCCTGCTCTGGCTTTGCCTTTGCTCAAGCTATTGCAACTAGATAAAACAGAAGGAAGTTTTTACAGAAACTCAGTGGAACGGTTGTCCTTTGACTTTCTCCTCTCTTTTGAAATATTCATTTCTCCCTTCCTGAAGACAGAGAAAAATTTTCCATTGTCAACTGCTTACAGAAAAGTCTGACTTTGGTTTAAAAGTATGCTTCAGAATCCCTTTTCACATTGACACAAACTCAACCCTTTCCCCCACCTCAACACGAGAGCAGTAAAAGGTTCTCCCCGCCCCACCCGCGCTCACACTTTCTTATCAATTCGTGATTAAAGTCACGCGAGGGGGGGGGGCGGAGGGACAAGCACGTGCCCCCCAAGTGCGAGTCTCTCCCAAGCGGCGCCACGAACGCGCTCACCTTTCCAGACGGTGCGTTTCTCCGGGCGAAGTGGGCAAACGGCGAGGTACGAGTCCCAGAAGATGCAGAAGGGGGGAAAGGGGGGCGGGAGGCGGAGGCGGGGGCGCAACCCAGAGGAGAAACGACAGGCTGGCAACGAGCATCCGCTCTGCACACACAGCTTACACACCCCAGCAACTTAAGAAAAGGGGAGGAGTTTGCTCGGCTAACTGTGGGCAAACACGCACGCACGCACACACGCACACGCACACACAGACCAGGCGAAAGTACGTGTGTGCGTGTGTGTGGGAGCGGGGAGCGCCTGAAAGACGAGCTTCGGGAATATTGATGAGTCTTGGCGCTCGGAAAGAGGGGTTGCGTCCTTTGTTTTTCCCTTTAGACCACTTTCACGCTTTGTCAGTTCAGCTTCATTATAAATGCAAAATCTGGGCCGGGAAAGAATCGCGAACACACATCGCGGCCCTCCCGCGCTCTCCGTTGGAGCGACATGCCGAAAGAGCCCACTTTTCATCCCGATATAATTATCCGGCGCGACCCCCTCCCTTTGGGGAAGGGAGGAAGAAGGGTCGCTTCTACGTATCTATAGAAGGCGATGACATTTGCCCGTGGGTTGCTAGATGCAGATATATATTATATCTAGTTCTGCTTGATTTCAAAGGCTAGGCAGCTTTTTCAGCAGTTAACAGGGAGAGAGCAAGTACGACCAGAAATCGTTCTTCCCTTTGGCCTTCTCAACCCCTTCCTGCTCCCACCACCTCTTGTAGTTTTGCAGCATGCAAGACCGGGCTTGTTCTGTACGTTTTATTTTTAAAATACGGCAGTAAATTCAATTCCAGCTCAAACTCTCCCTAGAAGAAGCCATGAAAGATAATGGGAAAACTATCACGTGTCCACATTTCTTTCTTGATTTAATCTTAGAAATGTGCATCACTTGCGTCTCCCAAGATGCTTGTTTCTCAATTAAGATGTCCAGGGATTAAACGCAGTTTGGGTGCACTCCTAGGAAAGAACTGCTGGCTGGCGCGTGCTGACGACTCGTAAAGCTCATTTTTGTCTATACATGCACAAGATTGCACCCTTTAAGAGGAATCTTGATGACACTCAGACAAGACAATGCCATCTTCACCTATGAGGCATGAATAAAAAAATGCAAGCTTTGTGTGTTAACTAGCAGTGAACCGATTCTCTGAGTGACAGTCCTTACCTACGCAAAAGGTCACCATCCACATGCAAGAGGAAAGTATCAGCATTCCTGGAGAAAGCCCAAGAATGACAGGAGCATGTGGAAGGGGGATTTAGAAAAAAAGATCTAAAGGAGGGGGGCCAAAAAGCCCCCTATCAGAAGAGAGCATTCTTTAGGGACCACAAAACGCTGTTCTGGGGTAAAAAAACTGAACCAACGGGGAACATAAGTGGAATATCATGGAAAAAGGTGGCTAACAGGTTAGAATACTGAAGACAAGCGCATCATGAGCCGCCCAGAGGTGCTGTGGCACAATTGAGCGGCATAAAAATGTTTTAAATAAATAAATAAATCATCCTGCCACATTTCCGCTCCGGTCACAGTCGTCCATCTACTATTGCTTCAGAAGATGGGGCTATCTCAGGGCCATAAGAACATAAGAAAAGCCATGCTGGATCAAACCAAAGGGCCATCTAATGCAAGACTCTACACACAGAAGCAAGCCAGCAGCCCCCAGGATCCCTCAAGCAGGACGCATGCAAGCCCAGCTCCTCGGCAACTGGTGTGTGCAGACATGCCGCCTCTGGTAGCACATTGGCAGCAAGGCCAGTAGCCACTGATAGTCTCCTCCCTCTTGAGCCTGTCCAAGCCCCATTTAAAGCCGTCCAGACTGGCAGCCATCACCACTTCCCATGGCAGCCAATTTCATAGTTTAACTATAAGCTGTGCGAAGAAGTACCTCCTTTTATTTGTCCTCCCGCCAATCAGCTTGATGGGATGACTCCAGGTTCAAGGGTTATAGGAGAGGAATTAAAAGTGTCTCCCTCTCTCCTTTCTCCACATTGTGCATTATTTTAAGCACCTCTCCCATTTCTTACCTGACTCACCCTTTTTCTAAGCTAAGCAGTCCCAGTTGTTGTAGCTGCACCTCATAGGGCAGCTGGTCCAGCCAGCTGATCATTTTTGTTGCTCTTTCCGACTCAATAATGTCATTTTTCAGATAAGGCAACAAGAACTGAACACATTATTCTATCTCAGACATGCCAAAGATTTGTTTAAGGGAAGTAAGATTTGTTAGTTCTATTTTCTGTTCGGTTCTTAATCATGCTTAGCATGGAGTTTGCCTTCATCGCAACAGCTGCACATGAGCCAACATTTCCATCAAGCTGTCCACTGCTACCCCAAGATCTGTTTCTTGCTGAGTCACTGCTACTCCTGATCCCATCAGCATATACTTGAAGTGGGGATTTTTTTTGTCCTAACATGCCTTCCTTTACGCTTGCTTATAGTGATGCCAGTGTCAAGGTAAGCATGCTCAGGCACCTGCCAAGAACCCACAACCCAACAAGACTTCCCTGGAGTGGCTCCTCCTGTTCAGCATTGCAACCTGCTTGCTCACCTGCTTTTCACTCTGGTCCAGATAATGATGGTGGTGGTGTGAAGGAGAAGGCGCAAGGGATGGTTCTGCCCTGGCCCTCTGTCGGTCAACAGCAAAGGGTGGCAATGATGATGGAGGATGAAGAGCAAGAGCAGCTGGTGTCCATGATGGTGCGAAGGGACACTCAAGGATGATCTTGCCCAAGGACCCCTACAACCTGGTCCTAGCACTGGGATTTCTATATTTCACAAACAAATTTCTGTGGATTATCAAAATAACTGTATAAACTAAGCACGCACACACAAAATTATTAAAGTGCTTAAAAGGCAAATTGCTAGAGAGTTGCATGAATTCCCTCCTATAAAAGAAATTTATTTGGGAAACCATGTGTGGGAGGTGTGATTTTGAGTTACGGGACAGGGCTAAGCAACCATGTATTCCCCATAATATGTGAGACACTGGCCATAAAAATGGTAAGGAAGTATTATATTTTCTATTAATTAACTTAGCAGCTTGGTTCATTAAATTTTGGCTTGCATGAATATTTTTTTTTGCGGGGGGTTATGCTTTTTTGTGGGGGGGTTATGTGTCATTAAGTCATCTTTGGAGGAAAGTCCTCTAAAATGTCCTTTGTCTGACATCCTTGTATAGCAGTTCTAAATACAAAGCAATTGCTTCCTTTATGGAATAAATCTGTCCTGCATTTTGACTTCCTTATAAGTTAACAGAGATGGGAAGAAAACAAAGTTCACAAGATGATCTTTATAAAAAATCTTCAAAACTTCTATTGAAATTCAGA